TTGTTGGAAAATGAGAGTTTATTACTGTCATTTTCATAAGAATTATTTTTAATTAGTTTTTCTATATATTATGTGGTGTACGGATGTACATAATATCAGGAAAACATTTTAATTGTCACCAAATATGTCTTTCGAAGATTTGAAAAGAAATGAAAAACTTTAAAAGAAAACTTAAAGTAAATAAAAGAATGTATACTGAATACACTATATAATAAATATGTACAGGTATTTAATACAAAAACATAACAAGTATCTATAACTTAATGATGTCTATCATTACCATGGACGCAGAAGGCTCCAAATTCCAACATGGTAGCGTCGCCGTTGTTGATGATAACGATACTGGGAACGATAAAATCATCAATGATCAAATCAATGACTTGAAAAAGAAATTGTACAAGTCATATCTAATACAGATTTGACTGTAAGTGAAAAGACAAAGAAAACTAAAGAGTTAGGGGAATTGATTGAGGCCCTACAAAAGATTTTAAAAATTGGAAAAGACATGGACAATGTTCACATAGAAAAAAATATAGATGTTGAACAAAAGATAGATCTTATTCCAAAGAATCAAGAAATAAATAATTATAAAGGTTACATACTTTTATCAAAGAAAGATGAATATGGTTTTTATTATACTTTTAAAAATTTAGATGGCAATATTATTAAATATTACTATGAAAATGATAACTATAAATTTAACAAGAAATTATCTAAAATTGAGGAAATTCCAATCTGGTTCAGATCATTATCCAGATATCTAAAATCATGGAACTTTGATGATGTTACACAATTGACAGGTAAAATAGAAATAGATAAAAATGAAGAGGAAATAATTAGAAACATTGTTATTAATTCTATGACTGATGATATGGAAAATTTTGACTTGGATGAAAAATCAGGTATTGAAGCTATTTTGTTTATTAAACAGCTACTAGGTGAAGAATTCCCTAGAAGAGTTAAGGACAGAATGTGGAAAGAACTGATTGTTGATGAGTTCTGTACTGAACCAGAAAGGATTACCAAGGAATTTATGTACATGGTGAACTTAGAGAAATGGAGCCATGTAAAAGATGATTTCTATAGAATAAATGATAACTTTTTAAAAACAAAAATTGAAGAATCATTAACAAAAAACGTAAAACAAGAAATGATTAACAATTTTTTAACCGGTAAATTAAAAGGTGACTTAAGGCAATTGAATGTTGAACAATATATAAAAGCAATTCGGGATTCAATTAGATTGATGAATATAGAATACTGTGAATCAAAAAATTTAACCCGTATTGAAAAAGAAGATGTATTAACTGTAATTCGTGTTTACATTATGCCAAAAATTGTAGAAAAATCAATAATAACAATACTTACTTGAAAGGAATAAATTATAATAAGAAAGAAGACAAGGAAGAGAAGAAGTTACTTAGGCCTGGTGAAATCAATGAATCAGAACACTAGATCAATAAAAGAAAAGGTAAATGAACTGAATACCATCAAGAAAGAAATGAAGAACATGAATACTAACATAGATTCCAGAGAAAAGAATATGAAAATCGAAAAGAACAAAAAACAACAGACTCGAAAAGAATCAAACATTAAAGATATACATAATAAGTACAATATAAAGATAAAAAAAACATACTCAAAAAATAAAACTAATGACAAAGTAGTTATTGATACAGCTGCTGGTATACATTTGGTACACAATAAAGACTGGTTATTAAACTTTTCATCATTGATAAAAGGACCAGAATATTGGGGTGTAGGGGATGATAGAAACCCAATAGAAATACTTGGAGAAGGGATACTACCAATTAAAGGAGGTAGAAATAAAATAATTGGTGTTACAGCATACTATTCTCCAAAACAAGATGCAACAATTTTGTCTGCAGACAAACTATATCAAGAAACTGGCATTACCTTAGACAAAGGGTATGAATCGCTAGTGAACAAAGAAAATGAGTTTGATACGAAAACCTTAAAATTAGGAAACACCATATGGGTCGATACAGATAAAATTATAGCTGTCAAGATGACTGATAAGATAATTAGAGCAGTTAAACCTATTAATCCATTAGCGATAAAACCTAATATCACACTTTTAGAAGCTCACTTACGTTTAAATCATTTTCCAGCCAGTGGAATAATAAAATCAATAGAAATGAACAATTTTGATGATGTGAAAATGATAAATGATAAAAAAATTCTAAAAATATATGGTGTGAGATATGCGCTTCAGGTAAATTACATCGACACTTTCATTATACTGGTTCTATGAATCACTACACTTCACAAAAGGAACCAGGTGCTTCTTGGAGCTTGGATATATTTGGTCCTGTTGAGCATGTTAAAGAAAGATATTTACTCATAATGGTGGATAGTGTATCGAGATTTATTATTGCAACAACCCATATCAAGAAAAATAAAAATGAAATAGGAGAACAAATTGGATACAATATAAATTGGATTGAAAAACAATTCGATGTAAAAGTTAAAGAGTTAATCATGGATAGGGGTAAAGAGTTTGACAATCACGTAGTTGAAGAATTAGCTCACGAAAACGGTATTAATATTATATATACTTCTACTGAAGATCACCAAGCTAATGGAAGAGCTGAAAGAGGTATAAGAACAATTATTGAGGACACAAGAACATTATTGCTACAATCAAGACTTCCCTTAAGGTTTTGGACATATGCAGCTAAAGCTTCAGTGAATGTGAGAAACTGCGTATATAACAAAAATGTTGGAGAATCACCATTAATGAAAATATCAAAACATAAAGTGAAAATTAAATTAAGATCATTCATACCATTTGGTGCCCCAGCTATGATATGGGATTACAGAAGCAGAAAAACAGAAGCACCAGGAAAAAGGGCTATAACACTATCCAAGGATCCAAAAGGTTTTGGATATTATTTTTATGTACCAAAAGAAAAAAGAGTGATAAGTACCACAAATTATATATTACCAGATTATACAATAAATCACAGTTTAAATGAGAAGAAAGGATATGATATTATTGGTACATTTTTACATGAGGTCAAAAACAAAATTGGAGATATAAATGACATTGATTATGACGAGAATGAAATAGTAACATTGTTACCATCAGATTTTGAAAATGAACATGATAATCTGGTAGATGTTTTACACGAAGATGAAATAAGAGTTAAAGAACATTTACTAAATGACATCCAAGAAGAAATTAACGATGTAACGCCAATTATTGAACCTAGAAGCATAGAAAATATTAAATTAGATGAATTGTTTGACGATTTTGAAGTTGAAGAAGAACATATCAGCGAGGAAACGGAATCAAGAGAGTCATTAGGAGAAGAGCTGATTACTTCTCAAAATACTGTAGACACAGAACAGGATGAACAAGATGAACTGAATGTGAACAAATATGAACCAGAAACTAATTATAATGATAATAATAAAAATACTGGTGTCGAACAATATCCGGAATTAAACAGCACATATAAATCTCAAGAAAATGATCAAGCTAGTTTCATGCAAGACTCATTGGTAAGTAAATGGAAGGATATATTGAAAAATAAGATTGAACAGGAAGAAATTAAAACAAACATTATTGAAGACTCATTTAAACATAGTAAAGCATATGCCTTGGAGAAACTTAACGAAACACATACAACAGAAAAGAAATTAGAAACTGATAAACAACTAGTCTTAGAGAATGACCTCAATATAACACTACAGGAACCTGATACTCTTAATATAGAACAAGAAGACACACAAAAAGAAAAAGATAATGTTGAACAACGGAAAGTATCAGAAATAGAATTAAGCAATAATGAAGGCGCAGAAAATATTTTGAAACATGAAGAAATAACAACAATGGATACAAACATAACAGGTCAGATAGGACATAATTTAAAGAAATCATCAAAATCATTGAGATCAACTAATAATAAATTACATCAAGAAATTAATGACAATGTTAAAAATTTTATAAAACGGAAGATAGAAACTGAACACAAAAAGGAAAAGGAAAAGAACAATGAAAATAACAGTTTACAACAAGTTCTAGAAAGAGAAAAGGCACTGGAAAGTAATGATATTAGTGTTGCTAAGATTGACGAAGAACAAGAAAAGTATTATGATGCTAAAGAATCTGTTTCACTAGTATCTACATTACCAAAAGAGGAAGATAATTTAACTAAATCAACCAATACTACAGACTGGACAAAAAAAACTTTACTTCCTTAAGGAAACCTAAAATTAAAGAATTAAAGAAAAGATTATTAGAAAACAACTTCGAAGAAACCAATCTTGATAATATCCCCAAGATTAATTTAACTAATATTGATAAAAAAATAAAGACTTACACCCTAAGAAGATTTTTAAGAAGAAAAAGATAATTCGTTATATTACTCCTACAGAAAAATGGGAAGAATTCACACCTGAATCACGGGGGGAAAGTGTTCCAGAAAGAAAGATTAGAGCATTATTTTATAAACAAGCTATAACTGAGAATCAAAATTTAGAAGAAAAGATTAAATTCATAGAAGCGTATAATAAAGAATTACAAAATCTAGTTAATATGAAAGTAATTGATTTGAATATTGCCATAGACAAAAGTAAAATACAAAAGGATAAAATCGTAGGAACAAATTCTATTTTTACGATTAAGAGAGATGGAACTTATAAAGCCAGAATTGTTTGTAGAGGCGATCAACAAACAAGCAGTAGTTATAATGATATTGAAACATCCATTTTAAGTCTTGATTCATTGCGAATTCTATTGATTATTGCTAACAATAAGAAGATGAAATTAAAGACTTTAGATATCAACCATGCATTTTTATATGCAACCTTAAATGAAGAGTTGTATATACAACATCCAAAAATGCAAGAAAGGTTACTCCATTAAGAAAGGCATTGTATGGACTAAAACAAAGCCCTAAAAGATGGAATGAAACCTTAAAAGAGTCTATGAATGGTATGGGTCTATATGATAATATTTACTCACCTGGATTATTCGTTTCAAAGGATGGTAATTTAATGATAGCAGCATATGTTGATGATTGTATAATTGCTGCTAGAACAGATCAAGAATTAGATGAATTTATAAATACATTGGAAAAACAATTCTCAATAAAAATAGTTGGTGGAATGAAAAATAATATGCTTAATACAGATATTTTGGGAATGGATTTGAATTATGATTATGAAAAAGGGGAGATAGCATTAAGCATGACTAGCTATATAAAGAGATTAGAAAAGGAACATCCAATGATATTAAATGATAAATTAAAAGAAGAAATGATTCCAGATATTGATAAGTTTAAAATAAATCCAAAACAAGATAAATTAATTATGACTAAAGAGGAATACAAGAAGAAAGTAAGATATTTACAAGAGTTAATCGGTAAATTAAATTATATTAGGTCTAGAGGAAGAATTGATATAGAATGTGCAGTAAGTAAAATGGCTCGATTAGTTTTATATCCTCATAAAAAGGTAATTGAGTTAACCGAACAAATACTAAAATATGTTTATAAAACACAAGATACAAAGACTGTTTTTAAAAGAGAAGAAGTAGAAAATATATCAAACATCACGGTGATTTCAGATGCTTCGCTAGCATCTGAATTTGATCTTAAATCAAGATGTGGTGCATTAATATGGTTAGGAAACAATTTTTTCCATGGATTTTCAAAAAATCATCAATTTTATGTACATCATCAGCAGAAGCTGAATTAGATGCCATAAATCAGGCTGAGAAAATTGCATTGCTATTAAAATTGAAATTAGAAAAGATGATGGATTTTAAAAACATAAGAATATGTGTAATTACTGATTCCAAACCAGCATTGGACTGGTTGAAACAAGATTATTTTAAAGCAAGAACCAAATTTTTGGGACTTAGAATTGAAAGATTAAAAGAAAGAATATTAGATTCAGACTTAAGTCTAAGAAAAATCAGTGGAAAAGAAAATCCTGCAGATCCATTAACAAAATCCACTACTAATAAAGATATAAATAAATTAAGAATGATTGTACAACATGAATTAACACCCAAAGAGTTGCTTCCAATCACTGTCCTCTGGAATGCTGGTAATGGAAATCATTAAGTTATAGTGAACAGGAGGAAGTTATAAGAAAAACCAATTAAAGGGGCATGTTGGAAAATGAGAGTTTATTACTGTCATTTTCATAAGAATTATTTTTAATTAGTTTTTCTATATATTATGTGGTGTACGGATGTACATAATATCAGGAAAACATTTTAATTGTCACCAAATATGTCTTTCGAAGATTTGAAAAGAAATGAAAAACTTTAAAAGAAAACTTAAAGTAAATAAAAGAATGTATACTGAATACACTATATAATAAATATGTACAGGTATTTAATACAAAAACATAACAAGTATCTATAACTTAATGATGTCTATCATTACCATGGACGCAGAAGGCTCCAAATTCC